AATACTTTTTTATTGTGAGGTTTATAATTCGTAAATCCTCGATAGCTGAATACACTGAAGCTCCTGCTCGTATATCCCACTGTGCGAGTATCCCGGGCAGAGTAGGCACAAAGTACACTCATATTTCAGGCCTAAAGCAGCCCTTGGCTAATAGGCCAACTTTTGTGCTCACTCTGCAAACATTTGCCCAGCACTTTGGGCCAGGCCTCGGCTGCTCTGCCACTCGGGCTAATGAGCGAATAAAGAGAAAACTCGACCCAACAGCAGGGCAAATACGTGTGTGAGCCTTAGAGTCGACTTCCTTCCGAACTGTAGAAAGTAGCCTTTCGATTTGCTTGTCAAAATTAAATACCTCAAAAAAAAAAATGGTTCATTGCCAAAAAAATGGGACAGCTACAGAGCACAGCCGAGGATTGGCCAGACGTGGCTTTCAGTGAAAAATTAATTTGCATTCGTGCCTGCGCCTGTTACAGGGGTTTCTGTCCGATTCAGAGCAACTACGAGATGGCTTTGATCATCAGCAATATCGAAGTGGCTTGGTCGCCCAGATTCATTCAGATGAAAACTTTTCCGACTCTCGAGGTCGAGTTATGCTTTGGCAGTGCTGCGGGTAAGTCATAGAGAGGAGATCTATCTATACAGAGAGTGGATTGTTATGGATGTTGGAGGTAGAGTTGTGTGGGAGCTAATGATTCTCTGTTGTCTTCTTTGGTGTTTGCTGGTGGAGTTCTCTAATAATTACAGTGAAATTGATTCTTCTGACCTTTTGCGGCTTCTGGTGTTTGATTTTTAGAGATTTTACTCGTTTTATTCAACTGTCAAATGCTGTTGTCGGTAGGTTAACTGAGATAACTGGGAAATGATTAAATGATTACGGATTCGATTTCGATTGTACATCCTTAACCTGAAATCTGTAGATTTTGAAAAAATTGACGATTGATATATGCGGGTATAAAAGTATCGTATAAAAGTATAAAAGTATAAAAGTATAAAAGTATAAAAGTATCGCTAGACTTTAAACTCTTTATATGCATCGGAATTAAAGCGATCCTTTTTCACTCGTCTAAGAACTACCAGAACTACAAAAAGAGAATGCCCGAGAATGCAATAACAAAATACAAGCCGCGGTAATCGCTTTTAGACTGATGCGCATAGGCTTGAGACCGAGACCTTGGCAAAACCAAAGCACATGTCGTGTGCATGACGATACACATTACTCCTCAACTTGAGACTAGCCAATAATATATTTTTTAAAATGACTTTTCCCGTTTCCTGCTTTATACTTATAGCTTATAGAAACATGCGTGTATACTCGCATGATCCTTTCTTAATTAATTGTAACTTTTTTGTAATAATCTTTATTTTATACATATTCAACTACTTTTCTTTCGTTTTTTCTCTCTTTTGACTTCTTTATGGACTCGATTTTCACTTGGCTTCTTGCTCTGACGGACTCAGTCAACCATAATCGTAGTCGTATTTACCTTCGCTGCCCGCCCACACTTTTTCTGCATCAGCTGTCAAAAGTCGGCCTCATCATTCATTACCTCTGCACCCACAATCCAGCAATCCCCGCGCCGTCAATCCACCAATCCACCAATCAGCCCACACAGAAGCTCTCACTTGACATTTATCATGACGATGATGATCATTATTCCCGCTCCCGCTTTCAATCCCTTTCCCAGGCCCATCCTCATTTCCATCATCATCATCATTATCCTTGCACGTCGCGCTTTAACCTTCAAAAGGCATTTTCATTAAGCGGCTTCCACTGTCTCTCTTCCTTTTTGACTTTTCCGCTGCCTGTTCCTGCCTTTCCCTTTGGCTTTTCCATTGCCCCGCGGCTTTCCCCTTCTGCTTCTGTTGGCTGCCACTTTTGTGACTTTTCCCCCTTGTTTTTCCAGCCATCTTTTTGCTGTGTTCTGTGCGCCTTTTTAACCCTTAATTAAAAACGATTAGCAATTCCTGCTCAGACATCAGCCTAAAGGTCGTTCGGTGCAGTAGCCCCATTAAATATGCACTGCAAATACTTTAATTATACAAATAACAAGGGATTATGTACAGTTCTGCCTAGGGGGAGAGCGATAGGTACAGGGACTGCCTAGGGGGAGAGCGATAGGTACAGCGATAGCTATAGGTATAGGTAAAGGGATACATAAAAAGTGACTTTTCATTGTTGGCACTTTGGACATTTTTCCGGCATTTTTCTGGGAGCGGAGGCAAACCAAAAATACCCATATATGTATACGTATCGCTTTGGGAAAATCAAACGGAAGTTGTTCGTTTCACGCGAAATATGAACAAGTTTCGGACGGGGGCTATAGGAGAGCCGAAGGGGGCTATAACAGGACTTAGATGGGGTAATAGGGGGCTTAGGGAGGGCTCTCTTTGTGGCGCTAGAAATAGGTAAGAAATTGGTAACGAAATGAATTCGTTTTCGAATGTCGTGCACGCAAACGTGTTACTCGTAGCTACCTTTACATTTCAGCTCCACAACTAAACCATCATCGACCTCCACATCGCATGAACATTCCCCTATTTGTACTTTCTCTTTTTTACTTTTCACCCTCTCGCACCCTCTGCCAAAACCACAATTAGTTTTGGGGCTTTGGTTGGGTGGCAGGTTACTCGTTTTGTGGCTTGTTTTTTTTTGGTTGTTGTGGTTCCGCCAGCAGGAGGACCCAGACTTTGTTGAGTTTTTCAAGCTTAGCTGGATTTCAGTGGCTCTAAGCGCAGAGGGAGCTCAGGGAATAGCATCTGGGATTGGGTATCACTGGAGGGTTTTTTACTACAGCAAATGTGCAGGATTTCTCATTGTGCTAATCTGGTGTTGATATAGCTACGATTTCGGCATGGAATACACTGATTATCATCCTTTCATATGTTTGACTTTTCTATGGTTTAAATCTCTAGGTATTTCCCCCGAGTATTTTCCTAAGATTCTGTGCTTTGTTTTTGGTGTCGTTTTGTCTGAGGTTTTGTCCTTTTCTTTGGACTTTTCTGAGGCTTAATAGTTGATTAGTTCGATATTTCTTTTGATATTTATGGCTTCTTGACGTAAACGATTTTCTGGAATATTGTCTTAATTCTCTTCAGGAATTTTTGTAATAATGAGGAGGTTCTCTCGTAATGTTTGAATTGAATTTTTATACATATATCCTCCTAGATAAATTTTTGGCCTATTTCTGTAATGGAATTTCCTTGGAGCATTAAAGCCAGAGCTGCTGGCAGTGTCGTTTTTATAAAATAGCCCTCCTGTGTAATCTTTTACTTATTTCCATTCCTATTTGTCTTTGCATAAAGCTCCAATTTGTCATCTGAAAAGCTAAAAGAATTAAAAGACAATGTTTAAGGCGTAGAATTAAAATTCTGTTTATTTTATTTATCTTTTGTTATACACATATACATATATCTTATATATTCTTAAATGGTATGTTTGCCCGATTAATCTATGGATAAACTTAAGCCCGCTTTTTTTATATGTTTCCTTCTTATATATTAAATTCAATTTCATTAGTGGAAATATCACCCAACCTCAGCTTGAGGTTTTTCCTGAAATTGCTTTCCATGAATATATTTACTATAATTTCATATTTTCCTTCCCTCTTTCAATTTGTTTTCTCCTGTAAATTGCTAAGTATTATAACGTCAAGTGTTTTCCATGGAACCAACTTCATCAAGGAAACTCTTCACATTCCACCATTTCTCCAGCCCGCAATCTTGCTACCTCTCTCCATATTGCTTTCTTGCTGTTTCTGTCTGGCTCTATTCCTCCCCATTTCTTTCCTTTCTCTACGTCTCTATGTCTCTATTTCTCCATTCCTCGCTCTAACTTTTTCGCTGTGGGAGGCACTCCTTGTCACCCACTTGACTTTGGCTACAAGGCAAAATTACAATAGCTACAGAAATACAATAATGGCAAATGAAAGTTTTTGCCTGCTTGTTATGGCAGCCAAAGGGGGGAATGAGGGGGCGGAGGAAACCCGCTTCTAGTCCTGGGGCTAAGCCTTTGAGCGGAATGGGGGTACTAGGGTTATTTTTTTTATTTCACTGAAAGAAAAACCAAGTTTTGGGATACTTTTGGGATGCCTAATTGTTTCCGTATTGTGATGATAAAATATTGAAACTTTGATCAAATACAGTTTCTTCTGTCTATCCATAACTTTTTTATACAGGTCTCTTATTCCTAGAAACAATAGTAATTATAACTTGATGTTTAGACTTGAAATCTTGAGAGAAAGATCAGTAACTGCGGCCATTGCTACAAAATGTATTCTTCGGAATGCAAATGCAAATCTGAATATTTCTATTTAAGAATGAAATTATTATTATCTAGAATATATTCTCAGGCTTAAGAGAATTGTTTTCTAATATTCCATATTAAATGAGATTATTCCCATGTGAAATTATAATATTCAAAGGTGGCAGCCCTGTCCAATCGCCTCGCACGCTCGCGCCGATATGAGTAAAATATCGAGACGACTGAAACTTTTTCATATAATAGGTATCGTAAATATACGATATGCCTTTCGCGATTTCAATTTTTCGCGCAGTGTACAGTAGGAAACATTAATCTGATTTCAGAGCACGATAAGCGACACAACGACGCACTAAATGTCGTTCTTTCTTTCCTTCTTTGGATAACTTTGGCTATTTCGGGGCACCCGTTGTCTTGTCGCCCGACGACCCGACATTTGGCATTGGTTAAGCTATAAAAAATTGAAATATAATTGATTGGCAGTGCCCGGGAAAGTTGTGTGTCTGGGGAGGAGGGACCGAACCCCCGCCGCGTGGCATTGACGCAGTCGCCTGGCCAAATTAGTTGGCTTGTAATTTTAGACGCCATCAAGTTGGCTTTGTGCCCCGCTGATGGATGGAACGTTGATGAGGACAGCAACCGGCAAACAGAAGTTTTGCTCGAAAACTTTAACCATTAAACTCAATTACCAGCAAAAGTTGCCTCCTGCTAAACCAAGGACTTCACTTGTCTATAATTCTAGGGATCTCCTCGTTGTCGAGCTGCGGGGATCCTGAACGTTTGCCGGAACTGCCGCCGTTGGACGAGCAGCGACTGCAGCGAGCGGCTTTGCATTTGCAGCAGAAGCTGATCCTGCGCGAATGGCTGAGGGACCATCACATGCGGCATCATTACCAACGTCTGCTGGGAGTTGAGGTGGCCTCCCTGGAGGACGTCTACTGGCTGGAGGACTCGCGGGCCAGCAGCATTTTGGGCAAGGACTGGCACCTCTGGTCTTCGGCGCGACAGAATCTGCCCACATCGAAGTCCCAGCTGGACGCACTCAAAGCCCAGCTCTGGTCGACGGTGGTCAAGTCGAGCCAGCACCAGGACGCCTGGACATGGGGTGGTATGCTGGTGGTCTCCGTCTCCGTTGCCGGCTTGGTTACCCTAGCAGCCATGACCCAGCCCTCGCTGGCCCCCGAGGCCAGGCACTCGCTGCTGCAGTATGTGACCGGAAAGTATCTTCTGCCCGCCAACTGCAAGGTGCAGTGGGACTGGAAGGATCCGGCGCAAGTGGGCGGCACCATGTGCTTTGTGGTGCGCTTCTTTCAGCGGAATGGTCAGCCCTATCCGATCTGTGATACGGACCAGTTCTTCGTGGAGGTCACCGAGGGCACCCGCAAGGTGGTCACCATCAGCGAGCTGGGCTCCTCCACCGATCCCAACAATGCCAATATCGCCAAGGTCAAGTTTACCGTCCGCACTGCCGGCCAGTACAAGATCTCTGTGCTCATCGGGGCCAGCCACATCGCCGGCTCCCCCTTCATGCGCAACTTCCTGCCGGGGTCCATCGATGCCCGCAGGTCGCGCTTCATCCGCCCAGCCAGCACCGTCATTTGCTGTGCAGGCTCTCCCACCCTGATGCACATCGAGCCAAGGGATGAGTTCGGGAATGCCTGTCTGTTCGATCAGTCGCAGTCGGATGAGGCATTGCAGGTGGGAATCTATAGCTCCATTCGTTCTTTCTTTCTCTAATTCCGATTAATCTTCTTAGGGCTATCAGGTGGCTGTGTATGATCTTCATGGCGTGGCCGTGGAGAAGCTACACCATGCCATTGCCTTTAACTATGACAGAGTCAACTCCAGGGTCTCGGTGACCGCTCTCTTTCCAGAGCCCACATGCCTAAGGGCCGTGATCAGCTACAAGGATCAGCAGCTGCCAAATGGAGACTTTGACATCATTGTCTTGAGCAGTAAGTGCAAGTAATAATCTTTCAGCAAACGATATCCTATATATTTCGTTCTATCTTTCTTTAGGCAGCGACACCACGCTGGTGCACAAGAACATTGCCTCGCGGAAGCACAACATCTGCTATGAGGCCAAGCTCCTGAGCATCTTTGGCTCCTCGAAGAGCAAGCCCCGGAAGGTACTCTGCTATGTGGGACCCAAGCAGGTGAGTAATCAGGCCCCAGGGCTTCTGGCGGGGAACTAGTGAAATGTTAAGGCTCAGAACTCGTTGATCTTTCAGGTGACCATCAAGGAGATGATCCTCAAGTTCATACCCAAAAGGATCGCCACATTTCGGCTGTGTCCGTCGACCAAGTTCCACTTTCTGCCGCAGTTGGTGTCGCAGTTGCACGGGCCCGTCTTCATCATCGACGATGGGGCACAACCGAGGATCGAATTGGCCTCGAAAGATCGCAATATCATAGCGGCCACCTTTACACACTTTTTGCTGAAGAACATTGGCGGTTCGGAGACGTTCAAGGATAAGCAGGACTTTTTCTACCACGAGGTGCGCAAGTTCCATGCCAGCTACTACCACGAGAAGATGGCCCTCAAGGTGCAGCGCGAGAAGATACTCGAGAGCAGCATGAAGGCCACCAAGGGCTTCTCCGTGTCCGATTGGTGTGGCAACTTTGAGGTGACATTCCAGGGCGAGCAGGGCATCGATTGGGGTGGACTACGTCGCGAGTGGTTTGAGCTCGTCTGCAGTTCCCTGTTCGATGCCCGCGGCGGCCTCTTCTGCACATTCCATGACAAGCATCAGGCTCTGGTTCATCCGAATCCCACACGAGCAGCTCATCTGAAGCTGAAGCACTTTGAGTTTGCCGGAAAAATGGTGGGCAAGTGTCTGTTCGAGAGTGCCCTCGGTGGCAGCTATCGACAGTTGGTGCGAGCACGCTTCAGTCGTTCATTTCTGGCTCAGCTAATAGGACTGAGAGTACACTATAAGGTAGAGTACACCAGTCCCTAATCTATCTATGTACTTATAATCTCCTTCCTTTAGTACTTTGAACAAGATGATCCGGATCTGTATCTCTCTAAAATCAAATACATCTTGGACACTGATCTCGATGCCACAGACACTTTGGAGCTGTACTTCGTGGAAGAGCTGTACGATGCCAGCAATGGACAGCTGAGCAAGACCATTGAGCTCATTCCGAATGGGGCCAAGACCCGTGTGACCAATGCCAGCAAGAACCAGTATCTAGACTCGTTGGCACAGCAGCGACTGTGTAACAGTGTCAAGGATGAGGTGGACAGCTTTCTGAAGGGCCTGAACTCCATTATTCCCGATAATCTTTTGAGCATTTTCGACGAGAATGAACTGGAGGTGATTATTTTATTAATATAAGATTTATAATATATAATTATACCTCTCTCAACTGTTGAAGATTCTGATCTAAGGTGTGAAAGATATAGAATACAGATACAGAATTGTTAAGATACAAATATATTAATTTGTATATAGTGTTCGTTGTAAAGAGAGAAACAGCATGTTGAAGATTCTGATCTAAGGTGTGAAAGATATAGAATACAGATACAGAATTGTTAAGATACAAATATATTAATTTGTATATAGTGTTCGTTGTAAAGAGAGAAACAGCATGAGCAGATCGAACAATTGCCCAGATTGCATCACTCCAATTACATATTTCCCCTTAGTACGACATTATTTTCAACTGATGATAGTGGTATCTTGTACATAAACTGAAATATTGGCTGGTACTTGAAATCTGTATACCTTAATTAATTTGTTATGAATTTTTTCCTGTTGCAGCTCCTGATGTGCGGCACTGGGGAGTACTCCATCAGCGATTTCAAGTCCCATCACATTGCCAATGGCAACTCGGCCGAATTTCGGCGGGTTCTGGCCTGGTTCTGGGCCGGAGTGAGCAACTTCAGCCAGACCGAGATGGCCCGCTTGCTGCAGTTCACCACGGGCTGTTCGCAGCTGCCGCCCGGAGGGTTCCAGGAGCTGAATCCCCAGTTCCAGATCACGGCTGCCCCCACATTTGGGAATCTGCCCACGGCGCACACTTGGTGGGTGGATGGAGTGTGCTGGAAAGTTGTAGTTTTTTGATTAATTTGAAACTTTTTCCATTACTTTTTTTTTACCAGCTTCAATCAGCTGTGCCTGCCGGACTACGAGAGCTACGAGCAGTTCGAGAAGTCTCTGCTTTTGGCCATCAGCGAGGGCAGCGAGGGCTTCGGCATGGTCTAAAGTGGGATGGAAAATGGAAGATGGAATGAAATTTCACGGATTTTAGTTGTTATTTTACTTTTTTTGTGTCTGCTGCGACTGTGTTCCTCTCTCTTTGAGCGCTTTATATGTATGTCTCATGCTAGATGCTAAGTAAACTAGTCGATAAGTCTGTCTAGAGATAGATTGGAGGAAATATGATTTGCATTTCCCGTTGAATTGTTGCTAGAAAAAAAACTCAATATTCGATATTTTGTGTGTGTGTCCATAAGTTGAGCAATAATTAGTTACGTTACGGATTAGCCGGAAGACGTAGTAGTTTTTGAATCGAGTCAAAATGCAAATTAAAACTGAATATATATCATCATCAAAAAGAATGTGATAATTGTATTATAAAGTAATGCAACCTAAGCGTAAAGGAAACCAACTTTTAAACCAACCTTCGGGTTAACCTAAAGATGTACCAACTAAAACACCAAAACCAAAACTAAACTTAGTTAATTGTTAGCTGCGCTGTGTGTAAAACTCAAAACTAAAACCAAAGCTAAAACAGAAACAGAAACAAACACTAAACTTTGTAGAATATTGTACGGGAAAGAACAAGATATTTGTAAAATTTAAATACGAATCAATACCATAGTCAAAGCATAAACTAAAAGCAATGTTAATATGCATTTCCTCTAACAAAATATACAAATATACGATACAAAAATATTGAATAAAATACGATGTAAAAGTTGCCAAATTCTGGCACAAAAAACTTCAAATGGAAATCCGCCCTCCCTCTAAACAAAAACCCTCTGTGCCCCCCTGCTATATCCCCTCTTCTATAAGCAATACGGAAGCAAAAAATGTTTAATTGTAGTTTTTAAATGTTGTTGAAAAGCAAAGCAAAAATCAAACAAATCATATACTAAACAACCAAATATTTAGAAATTGTAATGGAATTGTAGTTGTTGAAGGAACTCTAAAAAAACGAAAACGAAATGCTTATATATCACGATTGAAGAAAAACGGTTTAAGAACGGTTCAAGGTAAATAAAAATCTACAGTTTAGAACGGAAACTATTTGTTCGATTGTTATTGCAACTATTAAGTAGTTTTGGATATTCATATATGTATTTGAATATGTATTATTAATTTAAATAGTACAATATCGTTTTGAAACATGTACACTCTATCGCACCCATTCAATTCCACGCCTCAACTAAGCTCTAAACATGTTTTAGTATATTGTACCCACTTATTGTAGATTTATTGCACCAGAAACTGGTACCGTACCCTAAGTATCGCACAACTTTCGTCGAGCGTACGAGCGTCCAAGGTCCCAGAGGTTGAAATGAAATTCGCTTTGGGCTGCTGTCAATGAACCCGCGTAAGGGGTTACGCAAGCTATGCCTGATTTAACCGTAGCATTAGCATGCCATACCGTACCATTCAGTAGCCATATAAAAGCGATCGTATCTGTGAACTGTACTTTAACGTATGTATTTTGAGGTCTTCAACCATGAGATACGTATCTGGCGGCGGCCCCCAGTGAGAGTTGTGGGAACGTGAGTGACAAATTACAAACGCATCGGGCAAATCAACAATTTCTAGCAAACGCGTGCTCATCATATACACATCTACCTGTGTGTCTGTGCGTGCGTATGGGTTTAAACAATTATTAGCAACTAATTAGAGTATGAATATATGTAGCATGAAAGGGCTGAGGCCTTTGGCGCCTGAGTGCGACTGAAGGAGAAAGTGGATGTTACCCAGAAGTGTTCATAAAACTGTCACTTTCTAGATGATGGGCACACGCAGACGGTCCACGCGCCACGCGCCAACCAGAGATCTCTCTACAATGGAGGGGGTCAGTCCCATCTTGAAGCATTTCTTTGCTAGAAGAGCAGCAAGTAACTCCCAAGAATGGCTTTGACTCTTGGGATATGAATCAAGAGTTTAATAGCTAAAGAGGTACTCATTCCAGATGAAGGTTAAGCGAAAGTCTTTTGGGTTCGGTATGTTAAAAGAAGCTCTTAAGATGTGGCTCTACCACGCCTGAAAAGGAAAGTATCGTAGATACATTTTTGGAGGATTTTAGTTACTGAGTTGTTTAATATCCAGAAATTTGTAATAGTGCACAAACGAATGCAAATTGTAAGATAGCCTTTTAATAGATTTTGCCATTCCGTTGTATTATTATCTTTATAAACACAGATTCTCTGGATTGATGTATAGCACCATCTTTAAATAATTCATTCATTCACATGGTTAGCCTTTAATGGACTTTCATTCATCCAAATCATCCCACATACGAGCCATATGTTATTCTACTACGAGTATACGAGCCATAAACTTGATCAAACCTGTTCCAACTTTATGAATTTTCGGTACACTTGCACTCGGTTTTTATGCTCATATTTAATGGGTTTGTAATTGAACTAGATCTTGAGTGGTTCAGCATAAATGTCAACTGTTTCATGTAATATTAACTTTGAGCAAAAACAAAAAAGAAGAGCAAGTAAAAGACTTCATGGAGACATTAAAAAAGTGAAAATCTTTCCAAACTACAGGTGCGGAATTTCCTTAGTGTAGCGGACTTGTTTTTGTAGATATGTGACAATATCATCGTGGGAAAAAATAGTATTGGTACTCGTATTGCTTTTAAGTATTTTCGGTTTATGTTAGTTTATATAATTTTTGGAAGGGTATTAAAATTCAACAACATTCGAAAGCAGGAAAATGTATAGCACAGAGTTTCTTTTAAAGATAACTAACCTATGCCATCCATCCTCCAGTACGATATCATATCAGATAATACATTTCTTTCCAACTAATGTTCTTTCAATATAAGTTACAGTCTTTATCTTCTCTTTTCGAACTATCAAGCGGCTATCAGCCTCAAGCCACTCTTATCCCCTGGTCTACCGCAATCCGCTCCTGTAGTTTAGTGACCGCCTGGCATATATCACGTTTGGCTTCATTTAAGAAGGTCAGTTTTTGTCCAGCTACACATCTACCACAAACTGGAAGGGCAAGGTCTTTTCGGGTCTAGAACAGGCCCCAAGAAACTTTCACGCGACCCCAACAAAAGAGGAAAAACACACGACGAAGAAGAAAATAAATCTGAAGTATTTTTCGGGTTTTCAGAAGTTTAATGGGCTTTCGACTTAAATTAGAATAAATTACTTAGACAACTAGGCAAATAACTTAGGTGGCAAATGTGGAAAAATTCTCATTGAACAGAACAGATTCCTCCAAGTTCCGAGCGATTCTAGTCCTGGCACTTGGAGGCCAGGGTACACATGAGCGTTTTGGGGCAGAAGAGCAGACTCTTGGAGCAGTTCATCTTGTGGCCCTTCATCTGGCCCTGGGCATTCTTGTAGCACACAAAGTAGCTGCTGATCGATGTCTGATCGGGTATTTTGTCGCCCTCCTTGCAGTAGTACTTTCGCTTCTTCACCGATCCCCCAGAAGAAGATCCAGAGGAAGATGAAGATCCTATGGAATTACTGCTGGATTGAATGATGATGGGTGGTCTGGCTGTGGTTGTGGCCGGACTCATGTCGGACAGGTTTACCATATATCCATTGTCCATTGAATCCTGTTCAATGTTGGAGGCGATCCCTGATGATATTCCTCCTGTTTCAGTGTTTCCATATTGCTGCAGAAGACTGGCAATGCTCTGGGCCTTGAGGGCCGCCTCCTGTCGCCTTTTAGCTTCGCTTAACATCTTGATGGTCTCCATCTGGAGGCGTCTATTGCTGTCTATGGTATAGCCACTGAAAGCAGGCATCACACTCCCGCACTGGGCATACGTCTGGGCATCGCAGATCCGCGTCTGCTTATTGAAACCCGTATAGGGAGGACACGAGTAGGAGAGAACTTTGCCGTCCTTCTTGCTGCACACAAAGTAGCGAGTGCAATCCGTCTGATTGGGTTGCCGCACACCCGTCTGGCAGGTGATGACCTCTACATTTCCCAGTTCCGACATGGCCGAAGGGGATTTGGTCAACAGTGGGAGTATCGACTTTTGAAAGACGTCCAAACTAATAAAATTCCCATTGAAGTTGACTAGCTGTCCATTGGGTGAGGGGTTGCTCGATCCTCCACCATAATTAACCTTTCCTGGAGTGTATGGATTCATATTACTAAACATATTGAGCTCCATATTGCCATCGGAGTCGCTGTAAATGTTACTGCTCATTGTCGGTCGAGGCATGTACGGATGATGATGATGCTGCTGAGGCTGCTGCTGCTGCTGCTGATTGTAGCTCTGATCTAGATATGCTCCCGAGGGTGCTAATTGATGGCTCATGCCGCCGCCGCCGCCGCCGCCGCCACCTCCAGAGATGCCACCGTCGCTGCTGTAGGTCAGTACGTGCGGGGAGCTGTTCCCATTCCCATTTCCATTCCCATAGCTGCTGGCCTTAATCATCTCGTCAGCATCCATCTCCATGCTTTCGATTTTTTGCGAATTGGGTCGAATGCTCACCTGTCCCGGCTCCAAATGTCCACCCGGAAACATGCTCATGTCCATGGGTCGCGGCATATTCATGGTGGGATACGATTCGGTGGCCTGGAAGATGCGGTTCACATTCTGTTCGCTTAGATGCGGACTGGGCGTGTAATAAGTGGACACTGTCGCGGCAGAGGGCTGCTCCTGGAAGGGCCGTGGCGTCGTCAGTGTGTACTCCGAGGCAAAGGGCGACGGATATTGACTGGAGACTGTGGGCGTGGGCCGTGCTGTGGTCATGTAGTCCATGCCACTGGGTTGATGCTTGTCCAGGCTGGGATACACACCCAAACTGTGCCCGTAGGTATCCAGTACCTCCTTCTCTCCCGAGCTGGTGCTGGAAAGATGCACAGGAATCACATTGTTGTGGATGATGGTGGTGCTGGGCTTGTTGTAGCCACCATTTCCGTTGGAACTACCCGACGAATGCTTCTTGTGTTGCATATAATGGCTGGGCATCGGCTGCGGTGCATAGTACTGCTGGAATGGATTCCCATGCGCCGATAGATACACCGGCTGCAGTATTGGTTGAGCATAATACCCATTAAACCCCGGATTTGGCAGCACCTTGGGCACATTCTGGGCTGCAATCATCTGCTTCGAGAGCTCCAGCACCGTCTTGAGCGTATCCTCTGAAATCTTTGGCTCATGATCGCTGTACTCGTGACTCTGGGAATGACTCTGAGAGTGAGTCTGCTGTGAGGTATAGGAGGAGCCCCCCTGCTCTTGGCTCATACCGTACTGCGGCGGTAGAGCAAACATCACCGAACCCTCGGGACGATTGACCACAATCTGGGAGTTGGCATAGCCCTGACCCGTGGCCCCATTAAAGGGCAGGGAATTGCTGAGCATTAGCTTCGTCTCCGGCTCCAATCGGTGCTTGGAGAGATGCTCTTGAAGACGCGTCTTGTTGCGATTGGCTTCGGGTAGTTTGGTGGTACTGTGTCTGGGTGGCTCTGGCGTCGTCGTGCTGGTGGATGTGGCCTGCTGTGTGGTGGCCTCCATGGGATTCATCATCTCGTACCGATTCTTGATGTCAAAGTGCGCCAAAAAGGCATTTAGCTGATCCGGTCGCATATCCGCTTGCAGTTTGTCCGTCTTCTGGTAGGTCTGCTGCAGTCCATCAATCAGCTGGGAGAGCCTCTGGAGATGAGCCGTCAGCTGGGGATCGATCTGGGATCCCGGCTTGGCCAATTCACTCACACTCGCCGCTTGCTTCAGCTCCGCCTTTAGCTGCTCCACATCCGGTCTGTGCGTCACATCCGACATGTGTTGCATATCCAGTGTGTGCTCATGATGTAATTCCAATTCTTCTTCGCGATTTTCAACCTTCGGCGGAGGACTGTCCAACTCCATGAGCTCTCCATCCCCACTGGAGTCGAAATGTTGCAAGGAAGAGCTCTCCTCTTCGTGGATTTCAGTGGAACTTGTCTGCTTGTGGCCTTCCTCCCCCTGCTCTTCACTGCTGAGCGTTGAGTCCAGGACTATTTCCACAGTGCCATCATCTGAGTGTTCATTGTGATGAGCAGAGGGCTCGCTGAGTAGCAGACCCGCCTCATCCATGTCGTTTACAATGAGTATATCCGCATCCGAGTGGCTGGTGGAAGGCGTAGAGCTGGAAACCTCACTGGGGGTGATACACTCCCAGTCCTCGCCGGGCAGGACGCAGCCGCCCAGACTCGTTTCGTACACCAGACCCTCGTTACATTTCACCGGAACCCAGACATGGGAGTTGGAGGCCAGCTCCCGGCACCTGTAGTAGGCGTCGCAGCGGGTCTTGTGGGGGCGTGTCTTTTCAGGGCAGGGTTTGCCTATTCAGAAGTCCAGAAAATGGGAAAAATATGAAAATCGGGAAAGAAAAGATATATTTAAATCACTTTTTTTTCAATAAAACTTTTCACTTCACTTTTCTGTTGAGTTTTACCTTCGGAAAAGTAAAATAAACCCGTTAGCAACACATATATCACCAGGCCCCTCATCTTGAGTTTTTCTATGCGTATCCTTCGGTTAATCCACGTAATCCTTGGACTCTCACGTAATCCCGCGCGACTTCCGTTCCGTTCAGAGCTCTCGACACGAATGACTGACCATCTGCCCGGCGTTTGACATTAAATTTTGATAATTTTCACTTTGTCGAGGCCCCAAGACGTCGAGTCTACTGAGTCGTTCTCGGAAAAAAGTGTGAAAAAGAGCAGCAGCAAAAGCAAACAGCAACAAATTTGAGCATACTTGGAGTTCGAGCATTTCCGTGTCTCTCTGCCATCGAATGGAACTTGCCTCTCGCATTTTGGTAGTTGCTATTAATTGTTTAAACAAATAACAGAATTATTTCCATTCGAAATTTTGAGTGGATTCAAGAAATTTCACTTTTAGTGCGTTGTTTGTTCGAACGCAACGAATTTATTAACAATATGATATGTAATTTTATTACATTTTATAATATACATAGATACAGACTATTAAGTAATATATGAGACATAATTTTAATCAAATTCATAGGTTCTACAAATTTTTAAATGTTGATTATATTTGTATTTCAAATATAAACTGCTGAAGTCCAAAATGTAGACTTAACAGAAATATTCTCAACTTGTATTATCATAAAAACAAAACATAGTGCACAATTTCAATTTATTTATAACTCTTTTTACCAAATTTTCAAGTTTGGCGCTGACTTTCGAACTATGTGGTAACTCTTTTGATCTAGTACCATCTCTAAGTGTGCCCATATTACCATGCTATCGCAATCCAAACAACCGACAGAACTTTTTTTTTTGAAATTCTCATCTCTAGCCTATTTTAATGGTGCATACAAATATTCGAAAGGCTATATCTCGGCTATTTATAGGGAGGCTATATCTCGGATATTTATGGCCCGATCGGTGAAGGACCAACTCTCGCAGGATCGTGAGGATCCAAACTGTCGAACGGCATCAAAATCTCGACTACGAAAATGAGGCCGATTTTTTGAAAATTTAATGATGGTTACTCATGATTTTTTGCGAAAATCGTGAAAAAATGGATGGCTATATCTCGGCTATTTATGGGCCGATCGGCGAAAGACCAACTCTCGCAGGATCGTGAGGATCCAAACTGTCGAACGGCATCAAAATCTCGACTACGAAAATGAGGCCGATTTTTTGAAAATTTAATGATGGTTACATCATGATTTTTTGCGAAAATCGTGAAAAAATGGATGTCCCTTTTTCCGATGGCAATCGATTCGCAGGACTCTCCCAATCACGAAGTGACATGCCGCGCCCCAATCGGCTGCCGTATAGCCGAGATATAGCGTACAGAAAACCAGTATCTTAATCCAAAGTTGCACATCCAAACTTTCGGGAGGCTATATCTCGGCTATTTATGGGCCGATCGGTGAAGGACCAACTCTCGCAGGATCATGAGGATCCAGACTGTGGAATGGCATCAAAATCTCGACTACGAAAATGAGGCCGATTTTTTGAAAATTTAATGATGGTTACATCATGATTTTTTGCGAAAGTCGTGAGAAAACGGATGTCCTTTTTTCCGATAGCAGTCGGTAGGCAGGACGCTCCCGATCACGAAGAGCCATGCCACGCTCCGATCGGCTGCCGTACACCTGAGATATAGCGTACAGAAAAAACAAATATTCGAATGATTTGCACATCCAAATCTTCGGAAGGCTATATCTCAGATACATGGCTCCAGATCGGTGCAGGACCCACTTTCCCAGGATCGTGGGGCTCCTGACTGTCGTTCGGCACCAAAATCTCGACTTCTAATATGAGGCCGATTTTTTGCAAATTTAATGATGTTACATTATGATTTTTTGCGAAAATCGTGAAAAAATGGATGTCCCTTTTTTCGATGGCAATCGTTTCGCAGGACTCTACCAATCACTAAGAGACATGCCGCGGGCATCAAAATCTCGACTACGAAAATGAGGCAGATTTTTTGAAAATTTAATGATGGTTACATCATGATTTTTTGCGAAAATCGTGAAAAAATGGATGTCCCTTTTTCCGATGGCAATCGTTTCGCAGGACTCTCCCAATCACGAAGAGACATGCCGCACTCCAATCGGCTGCCGTATAGCCGAGATATAGCGTACAGAAAACCAGTATTTTAATGGTGCACATCCAGACTTTCGGGAGGCTATATCTCGGCTATTTATGGGCCGATCGGCGAAGGACCAACTCTCACAGGACCGTGAGGATCCAAACTGTCGAACGGCATCAAAACTCGACTACGAAAATGAGGCAGATTTTTTGAAAATTTAATGATGGTTACATCATGATTTTTTGCGAAAATCGTGAAAAAATGGATGTCCCTTTTTCCGATGGCAATCGTTTCGCAGGACTCTCCCAATCACGAAGAGACATGCCGCACTCCAATCGGCTGCCGTATAGCCGAGATATAGCGTACATAAAACCAGTATTTTAATGGTGCACATCCAGACTTTCGGGAGGCTATATCTCGGCTATTTATGGGCCGATCGGTGAAGGACCAACTCTCGCAGGATCATGAGGACCTAGACTGTCGAACGGCATCAAAATCTCGACTACGAAAATGAGGCAGATTTTTTGAAAATTTAATGATTTTTTTCGAAAATCGTGAAAAAATGGATGTCCCTTTTTCCGATGGCAATCGTTTCGCAGGACTCTCCCAATCACGAAGAGACATGCCGCACTCCAATCGGCTGCCGTATAGCCGAGATATAGCGTACAGAAAACCAGTATTTTAATGGTGCACATCCAGACTTTCGGGAGGCTATATCTCGGCTATTTATGGGCCGATCGGTGAAGGACCAACTCTCGCAGGATCATGAGGACCTAGACTGTCGAACGGCATCAAAATCTCGACTACGAAAATGAGGCAGATTTTTTGAAAATTTAATGATGGTTACATAATGATTTTTTGCGAAAATCGTGAAAAAATGGATGTCTCTTTTTCCGATGGCAATCGTTTCGCAGGACTCTCCCAATCACGAAGAGACATGCCGCGCCCCATTCGGCTGCCGTATAGCCGAGATATAGCGTACAGAAAACCAGTATTTTAATGGTGCACATCCAGACTTTCGGGAGGCTATATCTCGGCTATTTATGGGCCGATCGGCGAAGGACCAACTCTCACAGGACCGTGAGGATCCAAACTGTCGAACGGCATTAAAATCTCGACTACGAAAATGAGGCAGATTTTTTGAAAATATAATGATGGTTACATCATGATTTTTTGCGAAAATCGTGAAAAAATGGATGTCCCTTTTTCCGATGGCAATCGTTTCGCAGGACTCTCCCAATCACTAAGAGACATGCCGCGCTCCAATCGGCTGCCGTATAGCCGAAATATAGCGTACAGAAAACCAGTATTTTAATGGTGCACATCCAGACTTTCGGGAGGCTATATCTCGGCTATTTATGGGCCGATCGGTAAAGGACTGACTCTCGCAGGATCGTGAGGATCCAAACTGTCGAACGGCATCAAAATCTCGACTACGAAAATGAGGCCGATTTTTTGAAAATATAATGATGGTTACATCATGATTTTTTGCGAAAATCGTGAAAAAATGGATGTCCCTTTTTCCGATGGCAATCGTTTCGCAGGACTCTCCCAATCACTAAGAGACATGCCGCGCTCCAATCGGCTGCCGTATAGCCGAGATATAGCGTACAGAAAACCAGTATTTTAATGGTGCACATCCAGACTTTCGGGAGGCTATATCTCGGCTATTTATGGGCCGATCGGTGAAGGACCAACTCTCGCAGGATCATGAGGACCTAGACTGTCGAACGGCATCAAAATCTCGACTACGAAAATGAGGCAGATTTTTTGAAAATTTAATGATTTTTTTCGAAAATCGTGAAAAAATGGATGTCCCTTTTTCCGATGGCAATCGTTTCGCAGGACTCTCCCAATCACGAAGAGACATGCCGCACTCCAATCGGCTGCCGTATAGCCGAGATATAGCGTACAGAAAACCAGTATTTTAATGGTGCACATCCAGACTTTCGGGAGGCTATATCTCGGCTATTTATGGGCCGATCGGTAAAGGACCAACTCTCGCAGGATCATGAGGACCTAGACTGTCGAACGGCATCAAAATCTCGACTACGAAAATGAGGCCGATTTTTGAAAATTTAATGATGGTTACATCATGATTTTTTGCGAAAATCGTGAAAAAATGGATGTCCCTTTTTCCGATGGCAATCGTTTCGCAGGACTCTCCCAATCACGAAGAGACATGCCGCACTCCAATCGGCTGCCGTATAGCCGAGATATAGCGTACAGAAAACCAGTATTTTAATGGTGCACATCCAGACTTTCGGGAGGCTATATCTCGGCTATTTATGGGCCGATCGGTGAAGGACCAACTCTCGCAGGATTGTGAGGATCCAAACTGTCGAACGGCATCAAAATCTCGACTACGAAAATGAGGCAGATTTTTTGAAAATTTAATGATTTTTTGAAAATTTAATGATTTTTTGCGAAAATCGTGAAAAAATGGATGTCCCTTTTTCCGATGGCAATCGTTTTGCAGGACTCTCCAGACTTTCGGGAGGCTATATCTCGGCTATTTATGGGCCGATCGGTAAAGGACCAACTCTCGCAGGATCGTGAGGATCCAAACTGTCGAACGGCATCAAAATCTCGACTACGAAAATGAGGCCGATTTTTTGAAAATTTAATGATGGTTACATCATGATTTTTTGCGAAAATCGTGAAAAAATGGATGTCCCTTTTTCCGATGGCAATCGATTCGCAGGACTCTCCCAATCACGAAGAGACATGCCGCGCCCCAATCGGCTGCCGTATAGCCGAGATATAGCGTACAGAAAACCAGTATTTTAATGGTGCACATCCAAACTTTCGGGAGGCTATATCTCGGCTATTTATGGGCCGATCGGTGAAGGACCAACTCTCGCAGGATCATGAAGATCCAGACTGTGGAATGGCATCAAAATCTCGACTACGAAAATGAGGCCGATTTTTTGAAAAT